TTCCTCTAACAGCTCCCTGAACTCCCTTTGAAACTCTGTGCCTTGATCGGTGAGCACCTCTGCACACGCCCCAAATCTGCATATTACTTGCTCCTTGAATGCTGCTGCCACATGTCTTGAGCTCTTGCTGGGGATAGCCCTCACCTCCAGCCACTTGCTCACGTGCTCCACCATGAGCACTATGTACCGTTTCCCCCCCCGGCTCAGCGGCAGTTCCCCCGCCAGGTCTAAGGACCATCTGAAGCCTAACCCGCGGATGGGCAGGGACTGCAGCTCGGCCTTGGCTTGGGTCAGGTTTGCTTGGCTCCTTTGGCAGGCCTCACATCCCTCCACCCACTTCTGCACCTGCCTGCGCATTCCCTCCCACCACCAGCCCGTCTTCAACAACTGCACTGTCCTCTCATGCCCGAAGTGCCCCAGCTTTGAGTGCACCTCCTTTATCACTGCTTCCCTGTCACCTGGGGCCGGCACCAGCTTCCACCCACCCTCGGTCTGTATCTGCAACTGCTGCTGGTACCACCTGTAGTGGTGCCCCCTTGCTCTCACCCTCTCGCTCATCTCCTCGTCTGCCCCTGTCTCTCCCTTCACCCATCTCACAGCCTGCTCATCCTCCCAGATATTAGCCGGCCCCTTGCTCCTCCTGGCCCCGCTCAGCTCCACCTGTCTGGCCAGCAGCGCAAGGGTCACTGTTGGCTCTAGCGGTGGGGGGTTACGGGAGAGGCCGTCCACATGCTGCAAGGTTTTTCCTGGCCTGTGCTTGATTTTGAAGTCATACTCCTGCAGCTTCATTGCCCATCGTGCATTCCTGCCTGTTAATCCTGGTGTAGTCATCAGCCATGTCAGTGGCTGGTGGTCCGTCACCAGGGTGAACTCCCGCCCCTGCAAGTAGACCCTGAAGTGCCCCACAGCCCATACTGCCGCCAGTCCCTCCCCTGTGTACGAGCTGTACTGTGCCTCCGCTGAGTTGCAGCTCCTACTCGCGTAGGCCACCACCTTCTCATCCCCTTCCACCTCCTGGCAGAGTATCCCGCCCATCCCTTGGCTGCTCCAGTCGGTGTAGAGGGTGAAGGGTTGGTCCGCTGCTGGCAGCTGCAAGACGGTTGCTGTTTTCACCGCCGCCATCAGGTCCTGCAATGCCCCCTTCTGCGCTTCCCCCCACTCCCATGTCTTGTCCTCCCTTAACAGTCCGTTCAACACCGCTGCCCGCCTGCTGAAGTTGGGCACAAATCGCCGGTAGTAACTCAGAAACCCCAACACCGCTCTCAGCCCTGTCTTGTCCTTTGGTTCTCGCAGCCTATCCAGCACCTCCACCTTTGCTTGCTGGATCCCGATCTGCCCCCCTGTCACCTCGTAGCCCAGATACTGAACGGTCTGCTCACCCCACCTACACTTCTTCGGGTGACACGTGAGTCCCGCTGCTTCTATTGCTGCCAGTGTCTTCTCCACATCCTGCAGGTGCTGCTGTTCGGAGGTGCTGAAGATCACCACGTCATCTATGTAGCACGCTGCACATTCTACGTCCCTCAGCACTGCATCCATGACTCTCTGAAACACTGCTGATGCGTTCCTCAGCCCGAATGGCATGTAAAGCCACTCGTACAGCCCATCCGGCCCGTGAAATGCCGTCTTCCTAACGTCCTCCTCCCTGATTTTTATCTGATTGAACCCCTGCCGCAGGTCCAGCGTCGTGAAGAACACCCCCTCTGCTAACTTGTCAAATATCTCCTCCGCCATCGGCATTGGGTACCTGTCCGCCACGGTAATCTTGTTGAGCGCTCGGTAATCTCCGCACATCCTCCTGCTCAGGATCTCCCCTGTTAAGTCCTTCCTCGCTGCCACCACTGTTGGTGTGGCGTATTCTGATTCTGAGCGCCGGATCAGTCCGGCCGCTAGCAGCTCCTTAATCTTCTCCTTGCATATCTCTTCATCTCCGTGCGGCATCTTCCTACGCCGTTGGAACACCGGCTTTGTGCTGCTCAGTTTCAGCTCCATCTCCTTCATTTTGCACCTTCCCAGTTCTTGCAGTGTGAAGGCAAAGCACTTCCTATGCTTGGCCAGCAGTCCCAGCATAGCTTCCCTTCCCTCTTCACTCATCGCTTCCCCCACTGTCCACTTCCCTCCCTCCTCCTCCTGGCAGGTCCATGCTCCTTGTGGGGCTGCTGCTGCCGCCACCTTATCTGCCTCTTGCCCCCCACCCAAGACCATCTGTCGCCACATCCTCTGCACCAGCCACCTCATCATGTAGCCATCCATGGCATTCCCCATTGCCCTCCTCCTGTCTTCCTCGCTCACCCCTGGTGCTGCCGTCACGTTTTCTCCATATCCCATAGCCAGCTCCCTCTCTAATGCCGTCGGTTCCTCCCACCGTCCCCGCTTGTGGTCATATATCAGCCCGGGTCCGGGCTCCCCCTTTTCCCACCTGTAGCCTGCTGCCTCTGCAAAAGCGACCAAGGTGGGCAGAGCCCTCCTGTCCTGCCCCACCTGGTTGCACGGGTAGTGCCTGCTGTAACTTCTTTGACAAACTGGCGCGGGAGTCCGTCCCGACTCCAGGATGTCCACCACCCTCCTCCCTGCAGCCCTCCTCATCCCCTCTGCTTCCTCCTGCAGATCCAGCACGGGAACCACGTTTTGCCAGTACATCCTGAGGCGGTGAGCGTACGACCCTGCCCTGGCTGCATCACAGCTCATCCCTTTTCCCACGTGCCGGCCAATCCTCTCCCTCACCAGCCGAATCGGCTCTCTACAATCCCCTTCTAGATCCAGATTCTCTAGCAAGTAGGCCACTCTGCCCTGCCTCTCCTGCAACCACTCCAGGATACTGAACAGGTTGTCCATCAGCTTCGTCCTCGGGTCCTCCCCTCCCTTCCCTTTTCCTGCCCATGACACCCCTTGACACTCCCATCCCGCCACCAGCAGGTCCACCTGCCCCCAGCTGGCCACCTGCTCCTCTGTGATCTGACTCACATCGTGCACCGTACTGCTCATGGCTTCCTGAATTACTTTCTCACTCAGGAGGTCCGGGAACTCAGCTCTCAGCTTCCGCGCGTGATGCTCAGCCATCCTTCTCACCTGTGGTGCCAGTTCCACATAGACCCACTGCTGCACTGCAATCCCACTCCTCACTGCTGCCGCCAGCCCTGCCCCGATTCCTCCGAACAACTCTACTAGCCGGATGGGCTGCTGCCAATCGCTATGCTGCCCCGGCTTGTCCATCAGTTTCATCCTGGGCCCCTCCTTGGTCTTTGCTGCTCCTCTCTGCCCCCTTTGTGCCCCTCCTGCTCCGACCTGATAGGCCCGCTTCGGCTCCACCCTTACAAACTGCACTGGCAGCTGCCCCAATGGTCCCTCCTTCTTCCAGTATCTCGTTCGGAACTCCACCTTCTCCATCCAGGTACATATGCTCATGCCTACAGCGAACACCAATTCCGTCCCCATCAGCAGATCAAAGTCCTCGGACTCCGAGATTCCACACTTCATCCTGATCCTTGTCTCATGCTCCCCTCCTGGCAGCAGTGTCAACTCGATGGGGGTCCGTGTGCACGGCATCCACTTTGGTTCCCCTCCCTCTGCTGTCATGACTAACATCCCCTTCGCCACGTGCCTCTCAGGGGCCATCAGCCCCAACCGTTCGGCCATCCCCTTACCCAGCATCACGCTCTGTGCTCCTGTGTCAATGATCGCCGTCTTTACCTTCATCCCCCCCACTTCCACCGCTCCTGCTTCCACGAGCTGCACCAAGGTCTGGCACGCGAGTCTTTCCTGCGGGTGGCGGGCTGGGGTCTTCTCTCCTCCTGGCGCGTCCGGCCTGGACCCCTGCTCACGTGGCTTTCGGCTATGCTCTTGCCTGCCATCCTTCCCCCCGCTACGCAGCCCCATCTGTTCCCTGCCTCTCCAGGCCATGAGGGCACACTGCACGTCCGGCTCCACCCCTTCTCCCTCCTTGTCCCTAGCATACATCCCCGCCTCCGCTCCCCACCCTGACCCCATGGCCTGCAGTTGAGACTGCAGCCTGCTGATCTGCCGCTGCAGCTCCTCTGGCTTCCTCCTTGCCCCTCCCTCCCGCTGGTAACACTCCTTGGCCTCGTGCCCCTTCTTCCCGCAGATTTCACACTTCGCCGCATCCGGACATTCTCGTTTCCGGTGCCCAGGCTTCCCACATCCATCACAGTTTTTGCACTCTCTGCGGAGGTGCCCCATCTGTCCACACCGGTAGCAGGTGCGCGCACCGGCTCTCTCTTCCCCGTGTGGGTCCACCCTCCCTCGCTCCTCTGGTATCATAGCTGCCGCCCATGTCGGTCTGCGGCTCCTCTCTGTCGGCCTCGGTAGGTAGGCCTCATACCTCCTTTGTGCCAGCTCCACCCTTTCCGCCAGGTCAAACACCTCCTCTAGTGCCGCATCCGCCCCCAACTCGTACACCCTCATCCTCAGTCCCCCCCTCAGTGTTTCGTCCAGGCCTCCAAGAAACTTACTGATGAGGAGGCTGCTGTCCGAACATTTCACATCCTCCGCCAAGTTTATCAGTCGGTTGTAGTAGGTCAGTAGGGATTCTGTTCGTCCCCTCCTGAACTCCTGAAACTCCCTTATGCGCTCCGCCGTGTGTCCCGGGAATTGACGCTGAAGCCGCTCCAGAAATGCCTCGGTGGGATCCTCCCCGTACCTCCCTGCCCTCCACAGCAGCTCGTCCATCCTCATGCGGTACAGGGTCTCCGCCTCTCCCTCCAGTGTGTTGGGCAGGCTCAAGAACAAGTCTACTGGGTCCATGCCTTGCCTGTTACAGCGGTATCTCACGTTCCCCACCTGCATCAAGTAATTCTTGAGGGCCGGCCCCACCCGTTGGTCCCCCGAGAACCTCGCCGGCACTTCCACCCGCGTCGCGCTGGCTGTACTTCCCCGCCCTTCTCCCCACGATTCCCTGGCCCCTCCCAGCCGCTCTTCCCCAGTCCTTCTCTCCTTGGCCCTCTCCATGCCTTCCCTGGCCTCTCGGGCCCGCTCAGCGCCATATGCTAAGCTCCCCCCTCCAGCTCTGCTCTCCCGCCGGTTCCAGCCCGAGTCACCGTGCCTTTCTCTCGGGCCCCTCTCCTCCCCCGCACGCCCTCGCGTTCGTGCCGGCGAGACTCGTGTCTCTCTCCACCTCGCCGTGCTCGTCTCTCGCTGCCGCTGCCTCTTTGGCGACGGTTCCCATGCTTCTCCCCTTCCTTGCTGCCGACGATCTCCGGGCGAGCGCCTGTCTCCGCCGCCTTCTCTTCCCCGCTGCTGCCGGACGAGAGGCGAGCGGAATCCGCCGCTCACCCTCCTCTCCCATTGCGCTTGCGGGCCAGACGTCCGTGCCTCCCCGCCGCGCCCCTCTTGCCGCTGGCCGCGCCTCTTTGATGAGCTGGGCCCCTCCTCGCGTCCTTCTTCCCGCTGCCAGTGGTGGCTGGCTGCGCGTGGCTCGCCCTCCCATCCTCCCTTGTGCATCAGCTGCCTGTCTGGCGATCGTGCGCCGTCTTCGCCCCAGCCCCCTTGTGCCTGGCGCCAGTCGAGTGCGCGAGGGTTAACAAAAGGCCGCTCCCAGCGCCGCGATCCTTCCCCTGACGCGCGCGGTCCCAGTTCCTCCCTTTTGCCGCGTTCTCCTTGCGTCCCCACAGCGCCGGCATGCACGCCCCAGTCCCGCCGCTCCTGCTGACGCGACCTCTCCGCGTAATGCTCCTCCTGGCGGCTTGCGTCGCGGCCGCGTGATTCCGACCGTCCCGACCGCGATCCTTCCGCCCCTGCCTGGCTTGCGCCCCCGGCAACGTCCGCCTCTTCAGGCTCGGCGCTTCCGATCCCAGCCGCGGGTTCCTCGCCGTCATCTTCTCCGTTGGCGTCTTCGACCGCCCGTTCCAGGTTCGCTGCGTCCTCCTCTGCCTCTTCCTCGCCGGACGTCTCCCACGCTTCTTCCTTTTCTGCGGCCTCCCCTCCTTGGTCGGCGTCGAATCGCTCGACGCCCTGCCGACGGCCCCTCTCATCACGGCGGCGCCCGCGCTCTTCCGGCGAGTGGAACACTCCCACAGCGCGTCGGTCTCCACTCCCGTATCCATCTCCGCGATCATGCCCCCTTCGCCACACGTCTCCGTCCGCGCTTGTGGCGTATCCTTCTCCACCCGCTGCCACGCTAGGCCTCCCTTCCGCCCGTCGGTCCCCAACGACGGGGACTCTATCTGCGCGAAATGCCGGCCTTCGCGGCGAGCGCTCCAGAGATCGCCCGCGCTCGCATGACGGCTCACCTCGTGCTCGTTCCTCCTCCCGGCGACTAAACACCCTACCCCAACGTAGCTCATATTTATCCATGACTGCGTGTCGCGTCCTATTGTTGAGTATGAACGGGATCACTCCCTCACCCCACCAATTCCTTCTTAGTGCTGTGCCACCGCGTGTAGTAGCTAGGATAACAGCCCTGCACTAGTATGAAAGAACACTAAACAATAGGCATCGAGTGAGTGGGCGTGGGTGACCTTACCCAACCTCGGTTTGCACATTTCCAATGTGCCGCTCGAGGTTGGGATTTGTTCGAATCCCACATTTCGCCCTTCGGTGCTTTCCCCCTTCATCCCAACCGCTCCCACATGTTTCCCCCTTTTTGCACCCCTTTGCAACCGACACTTCGCTACTGGCTACACCTCCTACACTACTTCTTATCTATCTACCTCAATGCATTCTTAGCAATTTGCTATACTACTTCACAGCACCGCACTCTACTGTTATTGCATATGCATCCCTTGCATATGCGGTGACACCTCCTTGGTGCTGAGAAGGTCGCGGCTGCTTCCGCTCCTAGTGGGAAGCGCAGCGGCTCCAGGGGAGGCAGGGGTGGCGGACGTGGCGGTGGAGGGGGCGGTGGTGGAGGCGGCGAGGGAGGTGGAGGTGGTGGGGGTGGTCGTGGGGGTGGAGGTGGTGGTGGGGGCGGTGGTGGTGCCGCGAGCAGTGGCGGTGGCGGCGGCGGTGGTGGCGGAGGAAGAAGTGGTGGTGACGGCGGTGGTGGGGGCTTGGGTGAGACCAGTGGTGGCCAGGGGCAGCAGCAGCAGCAGCCGCAGCCGCGTCAGTGCTAGACCCCCACTTCCCAGCAGCTTCTTGCCTGGTATGCCGGGCGTGGGACGTCTGGGGGTCCTGGTCGATGCCCCTATACCATTCGCGCAGGTCCCCGCGCTGGTCGCTAGTGCACCGGCTTTCACACTGAGTATCGCTGCTTCGCTTGGCTTAGCGACGCGTGGCGCATCAAGTTTCCTGATGCTACTGAGTTCCCCAACTGGGCAGACCTGCTTAGGCGTGATGTACCTATCTTTGATCTTGACTATGATGCTATGCTTGCTGCCATGTATGCATTGACTATTAGTGCTGAGGGTGACTGCTACTTGTGTGTGCCACCTGACCGCGGTATAGCCCCAGGTATAGCGCCTGTAGCTCTAGGTGCTCGTGAGTCTGCTCTTCCTGGTACTGCGTCCGCACAGGCCTTGCACACCTTTACACTTGACTTAGGTGCTTCCCACTATTTCTTTCGCGACAGCACCACAGTCACTCCCCTCCCTGCACCTGTCCCTGTCTCACTAGCTGACCCCTCTAGGGGCCCAGTGCTTGCACAGTCTACCACTGTGCTTCCGTGTCCGGCGGTCCCGTCTGGTGAGCTGTCTCGTCTCCACCTCCCCTCGTTATCTACGAACCTGGTGAGCAACGCCGTCCTTCAGGATCATTGGGTTGACACCTTCACTTCTGGAGGACAGCGTGTGGTGATCTGCACGTGCTCCCGGACCGGCCGCCACCTGGCCACGTTCACACGTGCGCCTGGGTCCAGTCTGTACACCCTCACCACTGCGTCGCGCTCCACCCCTTTGTCTCCTCAGCTGTACGCGTCCGCTCAGGTAGCTACCCAGTGTGAGTGTCGCAGCCTCTCGCACCAGACTCTCTTGTGGCACCACCGCCTTGGTCACCCCTCCCTGCCTCGCCTTCGTGGCATGCACTCTCGCCGCCTGGTCTCTGGTCTTCCTAGGTCTCTGCCCTCCCTCCCTCCCTCGCCTGCGCTGCCCTGCATTCCTTGCGTGGAGGGGCGGCAGCGCGCCACTCCTCACTCCTCATTCCCTCCCACAGAGGCTCCACTTCAGACTCTCCACTTGGACGTGTGGGGCCCAGCCCGCGTTCGTGGACAGGGCCACGAGCGGTACTTCCTGCTGGTAGTCGACGACTACACCACGGTCTTCCCCTTGCAGCACAAGGGGGAGGTCCCTGATGTTTTGATCCCCTGGATCCAAGTTGTTCGTCTCCAGCTCCGCAAGCCGTTCCATTCGGGCTTTCCTGTCCTGCGTCTGCACTCTGACAAAGGTGGTGGGTTCTCCTCCGGCTTCTTGCGAGCCTACTGTGAGGAGCACAGCATCCGCCAGACGTTCACACTTCCGGCCTCTCCGCAGCAGAATGGGGTTGCTGAGCGCCGCATTGGCTTAGTCATGGAGGTCGCTCGTACCTCCATGATCCATGCGGCTGCCCCTCATTTTCTATGGCCGTTTGCGGTCCGGTACGCTGCGCATCAGCTCAACCTCTAGCCCCGTGTTTCCGTGCCAAAGACTTCGCCCACACTGTGCTGGACGGGGGAGGTTGGCGATGCGTCGCGTTTCCGAGTCCGGGGTGCTCGTGCCTTGGTCCGCGATACCACTGCGGACAAGCTCTCCCCTCGTGCGTCTTCCTTGGCTTTGTCCCTGAGGCGCCTGGCTGGCAGTTTTACGACCCCGCCTCGCGCCGTGTCTTTCCGTCTCAGGACGTCACCTTTGACAAGTGAGTTCCCTATTACCGTCTCTTTCCTTACCGCACTACCCCTCGCCTCCCCCCGCTGCTCTTTCTCGCTCCGAGTCCTCCCCAGGTAGACCCCCTCCCTACGCCAGGTCCTGCTCCTTCAGGTGTCTCTCAAGTAGACCCTCCCGTGCCTGCGCCTATTGAGGTCACTGGTGACTGAAGTCCTGCTGGGGGTGGTCCTGATCGGGGTTCTGTCTCTAGGGGTGCTGAGCCTGGGGGTACGGAGCGTGGGGGTGCTGAGCCTGAGCGTGAGGAGCGTGGAGATGCCAAGCCTGAGCGTGAGGAGGCTGGAGGTACTACGCGTGGGGGTGCTGCATCTAGAGGTGCTGCGCCTGAGCGTGAGGAGTTAGGGGGTGCTCAGTCTGGGGGTGCGGCGCCTGAGGGTAGTGAGAGTGCTGGTGTGCGGTCTTCTTGGAGAGGCCGCCTTCGTCCGCGAACGCCTCTCTCCCCTTAGCAGCTGCACGAGTGGTACGCTGGCCGTCAGGGTCGTGCGGCTAGAGCTTGAGGCTCTACAGCTGGGAGTGGTGCTGGTACTTTGTCTACAGGAGGTGGTGGAGTCGCTGGTTTCGGAGGTGCTCGTACTGGAGGTACTGGAGATGCTGGGGCTGGCGGTACTGATTCTGGGGGTGCCGCTGCTGGAGACGCTGAGGCTGGAGACCCTAGGGCTGGAGGTGCCGGTTCAGGGGGTGTTGCTACTAGTGACGCTGGTACGGAAGGTGCTGGCGCTGGAGGTCCTGGAGCTGCTGGTGACGCTGGTAGTGGAGGTGCTGGCGCTGGAGGTTATGGGGCTGCTAGTGACGCTGGTACTGGAGGTTGTGGCGCTTGGGGTTCTGGAGCTGTTGGTAACGCTGGTACTGGTGATGCTGGCGCTCGAGGAGCTGGAGCTGGAGGTTATGGAGCAACTGGAGGTGCTGGAGCTGCTGGTGGTGCGGGAGCTGCTCTACTGGTGGCACTGCGCAGCCGCGACTGTTCTTTGCTCCGCCATCTCCGTCATCTCTGCCACCGCCTGACTCCGTGCTTCGCCAGGTTCTTAGCCTCCCATCGTCTACTGGTCTTCCGTTACAGCCTGGCTCACCACTGCCTGCTCCCTCTCCTTACACTGAGCAGCCAGGAGGTCTTGCAGAGCGTCGTGAGCTTGCGTCGCGTCCTGTCTCGCCTGTTCGCACTGTCCGCACTACTCGTACTGGTCGTCGTATTCCTCGTCCCCGGCACACACCTCATGGCACTACGTCCTTCCTCTACTCCGCAGCGTGTTCCTCTTCCGTCGTTGCTGACCCTGAGTCTGACCGGTTTCGTGCTGAGCACCCTACTCTCACGCATCTGCTAGCCACTTTTGTTACTGACCCGTTGTTTGAGTCTGCTACTACGTCAACCTTCGTTGCAGAGCTTGTTGAATTTGCTGCTGCCTGTTGTCTAGACTACGCCGCTAGTCTTGTCGTTGAGTCTGAGTCTATTTGTCCTCCGCCCGTCGGGGGTGAGTCTGCTCTTGGCACGGACGTCCTTGAGGACAGGCAGGAGGACCTTGAGTGTCTTCCATCTGCTGCGCCTCATCTTGTGGTCATGCTGCTTGCCCCTAAGGGAGACCCGGATGCTCCAGACATCCCGACCCCGCGCTCTTACGCTGAGGCGATCGTGGGTGAGTACTCCTCTCAGTGGAAGACAGCCATGGACGCACAGATGGCATCCTAGAAGTCCACAGGCACCTACGTTGATGAGCGTGACTACGAGCTTCACTCTCTTGACTTCACCACAGGCTTCCTACGAGGCAGCCTGCACGAGGAGATCTGGCTGTGCCACCCACCTGGCTTCACTGGCTCGTTCCCTCGTGGTACCCAGTCAAGCCTAAGGCGGCCAGTCTACGGTCTCCGCCAGGCGCCATGTGAGTGGCACGACACACTGAGGATGACACTTGCGGCTCTTGGGTTTGCTCCGTCGACTGCTGACCCGTTGCTGTTTCTGCGCACCGACACTTCGCTGCCGCCGTTCTACATCCTCGTGTACGTCGACGACTTGGTCTTTGCCACTGTTGACACCGAGGCTCTCGCTCTTGTGAAATCGGAGCTGCAAAAGAGACACACGTGCACAGACCTGGGTGAGCTGCGCAGCTACCATGGCTTGCAAATCAACCGGGAGAGAGCACGCCGCACCATCATACTGACTCAGTCACACATGGTGCAGCAGGTCCTTCAGCGCTTTGGCTTCACCTGGTCTTCAGCACAGGCCACTCCTCTAGCTACACATCACTCGCTCTCAGCTCCACCTTCGGACGAGTTCGTAGAGCCGAGTGGTCCTTACCTAGAGCTAGTGGGCTGCCTCATGTACTTGATGACCTGCACACGTCCTGATCTTGCGTACCCTCTTGGCCTTTTGGCTCGCTACGTGGCTCCTGGTCGGCACCGAAAGGTGCACATGGATGCTGCTAAGAGGTTACTACGCTACTT